GATTGAATCGATAAAATTTTAAAGACCTTCGACAATAGCCTTCACTATCCCTATTAGGCAAACAAGACAGCTGCCTGACAAGGCACTTGATTGATTTGACTCTCAATTTTTGGTTTCTTCGCTTCTCTCATTCCTCTCTCCCTCTTACTTGACAGCTTGACAGACTCACAGCAGACTAGCGCAGGCAAAAGAGAGGATGTTTCCTCCCATGTTTCTTTGTTTCATAATCTTATGTTTCAGCAAAGGTTTAGAATAAATATACAAATATTTTTAAATATTTTTAAATTTACTTTTCGGGTAATATTGTTTAAAAATTCGTTAAAAAAATCCGTGTCAACTTCCCAAAATTAGAGCTGCTAAAAACACAAAATTTTCAAGGCTCTAAAAAGCTCTCTAAAAAGTCCAGAGCTGCGTCGAAATAAAAAAATCTTCGAAAATCAGAAATCGAAATTTCGATGCAGCTCTGGTCCCAAGCCCAGACTAAAAACAAGTCTTGGACAGCTCTACAAAATACTCTCTGGAAACTATTAGTCATGCTTCTAAGTGTTCTAAAGTCGAGAGGCTCTTAATAAACGACAAAATATCACATTTGTTACAGTATTTGTTTGGAAAATATTTTTGACTATTTTAGTTCCCTGAGGGTATTTTTTCAGTTCCCACCCAAAAATAAAAATAAAAAAATGAAAAATAGGGGCCAATGTTACGTTAAATAAAATAATCTTTTTTTAGTCTTTTTTCTCTTCTCATCAAAAATTTTTTTAAAAAAATTCATTTTCTCCCAAAATTTTCTTCCAATATGCAGAATTCTCCTTCCTTTCCTTCCACCACCACTATTGCTTACTCGAAGACCCTTTCTTCTTACCAAACCAACTCATTATGCCTTTACTTTTTTTCTTTTCTTGATGTTGTTCACCCATTGGCATAACTACGGTTGCAGATGTTGCTGGTGTGAACGGGCTAACATAATTTTCCCCAGAAGTTTCTTTTTCTTCTATATGACTTTCTAACTCATTAATCATTGCTTCAACATCCTTCTTCCTGTACCTGGTAGTAATTTCAGGTGTCTATAATTGGAACATTGAAAGAAACATTTTTTGATTTCTCCTATACATAGGTCCATAGTCAAATTATGCCCTCAATAATTGGTTTACCCAACAAACCTTAACAAAGGAGAGTGCCTGGGGTGTCCGCGGGACTTCGGATGAAATTTGTTGGACAGGTAGAACATACCCTACTTTACCCTAAAATTTAGGGGGCTTATAACTCGGTCCCCGGTGACATTTAGCGGAAATGATGGTAGTGTATACTAAAGTAGGGTATGTTCTAACTGTCCATCAACTTTCATCCCGAAGTCCCGCGGACACCGCAGGCACTCCCCTTTGTAAGCGTAAAGGCAAGTGACATTCTGTAGGATCCCGTCAAGACTGTGGGATCCCGTCGTTATTCGGATTTATGGAGTAATGGAGACAAGAATTAATCTTGCTTTGAGAGGCGGGATTTATATTTAGAAAAATCACTATCTCAGTAAACCGAGCTTTTTGAACGCTCACTGTGACTCTTTATTTTGACAAAGCTTAGTGGTTTTTTTCTAATACAAAATTTTTAATTTTACATTAAATATATCCTGTCCATTAGTTTCACTGATCATTTGATTGAGCTCTTCAAAAAAATCTTCACAAAGTTTTTTGACAGCTTTTCTCTCCCGTTGGAAATAATGCTTTATACCATAACAAATTCGGATTAGATCGAATACAAATTTATTTTTGTCATTAACACTTTCATAATTTTGTTGCGCAATCAAAACTTTTATCAAATTTTTTGTTTTTGAAAAATAATTAATTTTATTTTTCATCAATTCAATCAGTTTTTTGTCTAAATCCTCTGTTTGTGCAAATTGCCCATAATCAATTATCTCATGTTGATTTAAGGCATTGAACATTGCTATAGCATTATTTTCGTTGTACTGTTCACCAACATTAACTTCCTATAATTATTGGAATAATTGCTCCTAATAGCATGCCCTTAATATCAAACTTAGACTACGGACTCAACTGCTCCCCGATCCCTTTTCCGGGACCATCTCCCATCCTATAGCTTGTCGGTACACCTGTCCCGGACCCTATAACTTATGAATGGATGGTCACTTTTTTTGCTCTTGGTATCATTGGATAGGGTATTAAATAGGCTCGGATAGCTTGTGGCTCACCCACCATCCCAGTCCACACCTCTACCAGCACCCCATGAAAACAGCTACCTGAAAAGTATCTCCAAACTTTTCTTTAAATTTTTTTACGAATTTTGTTTTTTTACCAAGTTCTTTTTCCATAGTTTTTTTATTTTTATTGAAATAATGCTTTATATTGGTACAAATTTTGTAGACGTTATAAAACATGAGTAAATCATTCTGAATGGGTCCAGCAGCTTGGGTAGTTTGCATCATTGTTGTTAAAAAATCTGCTTTTTCGAAGAAATATTCAATTTTTCCCTTTATCAACTCAAACAATTCTTTATCTAAATCTCTGTGTTCTTGATGAGGTGTAAATTCTGAAAAATTTAAATGTGAAAACGTTAATGAACCACAAATGAATTAAAAAAAAGTTGGGGGCAAAATTATAACCTCAATTTGCCTAAGCGATAAACCCAGAAGGTAAAGACCCAGGAGGTCGATTCTAAAAGGTTAAATAAAATTTTTGGCTGATAAAGAAGGATTTGGGCGGATTAAGGCGGATTTGTGGGCATTAAGGAGGATATCGCCGGATTTGGGCGGATTAAGACGGATTTATTGGGATTAAGGGGGATTAAGAGACATAGGACGGAGATACTCTAGTTGCAACTGTCGGATAATGCAAAAGAAAGCAGGCAAACATATTCTTGAGAATGAGTTTGTGGGCATTAAGGAGGATTAAGATGGATTTTTATCCGTCAAAAATTTGTATTTGACCTTTTGTGTCTTTTGACCTCCTTATGAGTTTTGACCTTCTGGGGTGGACCCTCGCCGAAATAAGGAGTTCTGGGATTTCCCCTAGCTCAATAACCAAAGCAGCCTTGATTGTGCGTGAAAACTTGTTTCCCACAACATTCCTTCCATTATGCGGCATCTTGTCTAAACCAGTCGGGGATCTATATTTCCAAGACATATGACAGGACCAGAGTTTACCGACACATGGCTAATGTGCTTATATAAACTAATTAATGAGTAGATAGGGTATGGCCATAAAATTCTTATTAAACTCTAATGCCAAAAATTGTTTTTTGGCTAACCTTCCACAGGTACTCCTTCTGATACTTCAAAAAAGCCGCCAAGTAAGTTTGTATTCACATCATCATCTCCTTCCTCTCCTTGTACTTCTTCTATTTCACCATACCAACCAGAACCTCCTGATCCATTACATTTACCGTATTTCCTAAAATAAAGCCCCATGCTAAATTAGTGCCCCACCCTAAAATAGAGCCCCACTTTGGAGGATAGTTCAAATTTAGAGCCCCATGCTAAATTAGAGCCCCACTCTAAAATAGAGCCCCACCTCACTTTTTTAAATTTACTTTTATTCCAAATTGGTAAACAAAATTGTTAAGATGTGAGTAAAAGGGGAGAGGGGTTGGATGAGTAAATGGATGTTAGTGAATTTGGGGATTAAAAGGGATATCGAGAGATTAAAATTAAGAGGGTTGGGGGAGCTATTTTGGATTAAGGGACCTTCCCAGAGCAATCCGAAGTTTAGCACAAACTGCCATTCTGAGAAAATCCGGTTAAGGAATTTAAGTGTCCATTCGGGGGATATTGAATGAGGCAAATTTAAATGGATTATAAGTGATATTGTAATATTTTGGTGAGTAAAAGTTGTCAGTCCGAAAAAGGATGTCAGTCAGTCCTAGTGTCTGATTCTGAGGGAAGACGTCTCCCGATCAAAACTCCCCTATATCCCACGCTTGCCTATGTCCTATACTTTGCGGAGTTCACACAAGGACGCTTGTGAAACTCCAATCCAATAACCCCATTTTGAAGGCATTGGGAAACGGGACCAACCGCTTTATTATTATTTATTAAGAGTTTAAGGGGAATAAAGGGATTTGAGGGAATAAAGTATTATTGAACATTAGGGTATTTTAAGGCGAAATTTTTGAGAGCCTTGGAAGGCCAAGGAGTTAGCTTTCTTTATTTTCAACGCCGCAGAAGAAACTTTTGGAAAGATAGACAAAATCTTAAGTCTGCAAAAATTATTGAAAATCGAAAATTTTTCCTAAATTTCGTAAATAAAAAGAATCTATTTTTCATTTTTGTAATTTGAAAAATAGGTTGAAATTTAGAGCCCCATGCTAAATTAGAGCCCCACCCTAAAATAGAGCCCCACTCTGGAGGATAGTTGAAAAATAGAGCCCCATGGGGCTTTATTTTAGGAAATACGGTAATCACCAAAAACAATATAAAAATTAATACACTGACCAATTTTGGTCGAAATTTTGAAAGCATATTGAAGCGGTTCTAGCTTCTTTTTAAGCTTCAAAATTAGCTAAAATATTTTAAAATTATTTCAAAGTTTATTTTTGAAGATTGATTTAATACATATAAATGGCGTACTTACTCTACTGAATATCTTAGGTAATATTTATTGCTTCTACATATTAGTCCCTAACCTGGTCAAATCTAACCCTGGCCAAATCCCAAATAGGTGTACAAAATTTGCCGGACCCGGATCAGCAATTAGAGCTGTTGTGTCCGGCCGGATCCGGTCTGGCTCTAATTGCAACGGATACTAGTTTCTATCCCTTCGTCTGTTCCAGCTCTTTCCCTTCGCTTACACATTGTTACATTTCTACATTGGATAAACCGTCATTCTTGTGCCCGTCGACATTCGTTAAATCTCGGACACCCTCGGATTTGCAATTAGAGACGGAACGTATCCGGCCGGATTTTTCCGGATTCCGGTCCGGTTTTAATCCGGAGATCACGGACTCCGGAAAATCCGGACGGAAACGGTGCCGGTCACTAGTTTTTATCCCTCGTAAGTATTTATATATGTAAGTAACAGAGCGGTCGTAATTACTTGAGAGAGGGTAATTAATAGAACATATACGGTAATTTAATTTTTTAAAAAAATTTCTAAAATTAATTTAAGGAGGAAAATTATGCTATTGACTGTGGGGAGTAGACACTGATTTTTATACTACCTCGTTCTCCTGTAAGTGGCATGGAATCGATATAAAATGTCCTCCACACTCCTATTAGGCATACAAGGCACAAGACACTCGATTGATTTGCCTCTTAATTTCCGCTCTTTTTAGTGTTCAGTACATTTTTTTCATTCCCCTTCTTGTCAGACTACGTACATACTACAAGTATAAAATTTATTAAGAATGCGCGGCCTAACGATACGTGGCCTGATCGTTGACAGAATTGTATCTCCGAGTCTCGGTCTCTCGATCCGGGTCTCAGTCTCTCGGTCTGAGGTCCAAGTCTTGGTCTCTCGGTCCGAGTCTATGTCTCTCGGTCCTAGTCTCGGTCTCTCGGTCCGAGTCACGGTCCGGGTCTTAGTCTCGGGGTTGATTCCCGGTCTCGGCTTTTTTCACTCCCGAACATCACTAGTACATACTACATGTATAAAATTTAATTAAGAATGCCGGCCTGACAAGAAAAGGGAACCGGTGACAGATTAACGACATTGTTAATTAGAAGTTGTTAACTTTTTTGGGAATAGAGTGCCCAACTCACCCGGCAATTCTGTCAACTCCAGGCCACGTATCGTCAGGCCGCGCATTCTTAATAAATTTTATACTTGTAGTATGTACGTAGTCTGGTAAGAGGAGAAAGAGGAAATGTACTGAACACTAAAAAGAGCGGAAATTGCGCGGCAAATCAATCGAGTGTCTTGTGCCTTGTATGCCTAATAGGAGTGTGTAGGACATTTTATATCGATTCCATGCCAATTATAGGAGAACGAGGTAGTATAAAAATCATAGTCTATTCCCTCCAGTCAATAGCATACTTTTCCTTAAATTAATTTTAAAAATCCTAAAAAAATTAAATTACCGTATATGTTCTATTAATTACCCTCTCTCAAGTAATTACGACCGCTATGTTACTTATACCCATCAACGAGGGGTAGAAACTAGTTACCGGCACCGGGCTGGATCTTTCTCCGGAGTCCGTGATCTTCGGATTAAAACCGGACCGGATTAATCCGGAAAAATCCGGCCGGATCCGTGTCCGGTTCTTGTTATGTCCGAGGGTGTCCGAGATTTAACGAATGTCGACGGGCACAAGAATGACGGTTTATCCAATGTAGAAATGTAACAATGTGTAAGCGAAGGGAAAGAGCTGGAACAGACAAAGGGATAGAAACTAGTATCCGTTGCAATTAGACCAGACCGGATCCGGCCGGACACAACAGCTCTAATTGCTGATCCGGAATCTGTGTCCGGCAAATTTTGTACACCTTTTGGGATTTGACCAGGTTAGGGACTAATAGAAACAAATACCTAAGATATTCAGTAGAGTAAATACGGCATTTATATGCATTAAATCACTTTTCAAAAATAAATTTTCAAATAATTTGAATTATTTTAGCTAATTTTTGAAGCTTAAAAGGAAGCAAAAAACGCCAAAATATGCTTTTAAAATTTCGACTAAAATTGTTCATTGTACCAATTTTTATATTGTTTTTGGTGATTAAATGTAAAGGGTCAGGAGGTTATAGTGAAATTGTGGAAGAACCTTATGAGGGCGTACATAGAGGTTGGCCAGAAAAAATAATGAGGATTACCGTATTTATTGTATTATAGCCCCCTTCCGAGTTAGGGCCCCCTTTCTCCTTAATAAATCCCCCGTTTGGAGGTTGAAAAATAGAGCCCCATGTAGCTCTAATACAGAAAATATGGAAAAAGGGCATAGAACCTATTGAATCTTAAAGCTAGATTAATCAGGCCTATAGGCAATTCTCTTTACACAAACACACTAGTTGGTGTTAAATCCTTTATCCAACAATAAAGGGGATATAGACACAAACTAGACAAACTCTAAAGGGACATTGGGAACATGCTCTATATTGGGCTTCCCTTAAAATTAATTAAACACAAAATTTCAATTTTTGTTTTTCCAAAAGGTACATCTCAACAAGGAATAGACGAGAAGGAACTGATTAAGTTGATGAAGAAGAAAATTAAATATTTCGGTGACGTAAAAACAATTTAGAAGCAAAAGTTAAGGGACAAAATCTTGGTGACGTTCAAGATGATTTGCTTGTTTCAGATGACGTATATAAAATTTGTAATGAATTAGAACGTTATTTTCAAAAAAAGAAAAACGTTAAAGCTGCAAAAAAAATTTGTAAAAAGTTTATTAAAAGCTGGGAAGAGTTTGTCACAAAAACTAAACTAAAAAATGCATTTAAGGTAAAATACAAAACTTTTGTATAAGGCGAAGGATAACCCAAAATCCTCAAGCTTTGTTAAACGTATAGATAATGAGGGTACTTATGCACCTCCCTCCCTCTCCCCCTCGCTACCCCGTTCCCTGAACGATCCGTTCCCCCCCCCCTCTCTCTACACCGTTCCCTTAAGGATCCGTCCCCTCCCCCCCCTCTACCTCGTTCCCTGAACAATCCGTTCCCCCTCCCCTCTCCCCCTCGCTGCCCCGTTCCCTTAAGGATCCGTTCCCCGCCCAGAAATAATTCAAAACCCCCGTCCCCCGACCCGAAAAAGTTTTGGGAAAAAATAAGCGAGGCATACTTTGGATAATATTTACATAATGATATTTTTTCTATTTAACTTTTTTATTTATAAAAACCCAAGACAAACAAGGAGAAGTGTGTTGAAGAAACGATTAAAGCTTTAAAAGAACACAAAGGAAGAGGAAGTTCCGAAGCAAGCTATGAAGGCCCGATTTTTGCAGCAGAAGCAACGGCAACATCGAGTGAGTATATGCCAATGACTGAATATCATGAAAAGAAGAAAGGTTGGGGTATATGGGATATAGTTAATGCTAAACGAGGCTTAAACAAATGGCTGAAAAATATCAAAGGGAAGAAAAGTGGTAGTGGAGAGAAGGGAAAAACTATTCACCTTGGAAGAAACTGAATTTTTGAAGGTTTGATAAAGAAAAAAAAACTGAAAAAAGAGAAACGAAAGGGATTAAAAAGAGATTATTATTTATCGTAACATTGACCCCTATTTCCCTACTAAAACAAAACTAAAAGAGTTCGAAAAGATGTGCTATGTAAACGTCGGCGTCCCGGCTATTTGAAGCTCTAATAGACATCCCAAACTAACTAAATCATAGTCCTGAGCTCAAAAAATCATACAAAACACCAGAGCCAACTTGAACTCCAAGAAAAGCTTTTTTGGAAAACAAATTCAAAATGGCCGACCAAATTGAATTTTGCCGGTAAAATTGAAACTAGGATGCCGACATTGTACATAGTTTTTTATTTATTAGCTCGTATTTTAAAACACATTTCCTGGCATAAAAAGTTTTTTTTATAAGTTTATATTTTTTAAATCTAACAAAGTAGAGGGAGGGGGTGTCCGTGGAATTTCGGGATTAAATTTTGGTATTTAAAAGAAAATATATGAGGAAAAGAAAACTTTGGGGGCTTATATCTAAGTCCACATTACCCCATAGCGGATTAAGGACAATCTACCTGTCTACAGAATTTCATCCCGAAGACCCACGGACACCTATATTCCGAAGACCCTTATTTCACCTTTGTAAGTGTTACTGGTAAAAAATACAATTTGTTCAGAAAAAATTAATTATGATAATTTTTGCAGAAAATCCGCAAGTCCAAAAGGCCTTAGCCTTAGGAGAAAAATTCATTTGTCAAAGCCGCAGGCAAAAAATCAGAATATTTTTGAAGTTTAGATAGTAATGAAGCCAGACCTTAAAATTTTCTGTTCTCACTATCATAATATTTCTAGAAAATTTACCATTAGAAAAAATATTTACTCAATTGAAACATGGGAAGTAAGAGTAACACCAAGAAAATGCGGCTCTACTCCAGTTTATGCGTCCAATAAAAAGAAAATTGGATTTTTCTTTGTGTTGCAAAGTTGGGGTATGGTACCAAAACATTTCTTCATGTTTGGGACCTACGTCCACTGGGTCTGGGACCGTTCCTTACCCGACCCCTCGAAATTTTCTAAAGTTAAAATCGTTTTTCTGAAATTTTTAAAAATTGGCTGTAACTTTCAGAAATTTCGAGCGATAGGGTAAGGAATGGTCCCATCCCAGTGGACTGAGGTCCCGAACATAAAGAAATGTTTTGGAACCGTACCCAAACTTTGCAATACAAAGAAAAATCCAATTTTCTTTTTATTGGACGCATAAACTTTCATTGGACGCATAAAAGTCGATTGGACGCATAAACTGCAGTAGAGCCGAAAATGCTTGTCCTTATAATTTATTAACGGTCTGTATTAGAGACCGGACTTTAGTGATCGTTCGATAATATCGATATATTGTGCGGTATCGGTATTTTACCGAAAACAACTAGTATGATTTTAAACAAAAAATATTAAAACTATGAAAAAAACTTTTATGCCGAAAAAATGCAATTTAAAATACTAGCTAACAAATAATAAAATAATTGGGATATATCCGTTCATCCGACCCCATTTTCTTTCTCCCTTTGAATGTACATAAAGGTCAATTTCTTCCTCAATTTATATAGAGGCTGGTACCACATAGGTGCTATACTATCAAAAGAAAAGGTCTTCAATCGTCGCATATCACCAGCTTCTGCAATCAAACTAGGCCTTCGGCACCTCTAGCCTTCGGTGTTCGGGCGGGGTTTTTACCAAAAAATCGTAGGGGCTGTTCTTTAGTATATGCCCACCGAGATCGAAACTCGAAGTATATACCATTCGATTCGTCTCGCCGAGCTGAGTTCAAATATGCAAGAATTTTCTGCCGGAGACGAAAACTCGCTGAGATATAGGCCCCCGAAAATTGAAAAACCAAAGGGGGGACCAAGCACTTTTTTGGGGTGAAAAATTCGAATATACAAATTATACCTCATTCGAAAGAGCTCCTCAAGCTGAGTCGAATGACACCAAAATCAACGAAATCCGACTTGATTGGACAAAGTTATGATCTTTTATTTTAGCTCCTTACCTATGGCATCTGTGGAGATTTTTGCTGCTACGGAGGTCCCAAATACGTCCAGAGCAAGGGAGATAGGAATAGGTTTATGTTACGAGCCCAGACCCACCGCCCGTAGACTCCCCGCGAGGCGCGTGCCGCAAAACCCCGCGCGAAGCGCGGGGTTTTGCACAAGCGCCTCGCCGACGCCCCATAGGTTTATGTTGCTTGTTTTTTGTGTCGTAACTTTGTCTAATCTTGTTCAATCACGGTGATTTTGGAGTCATTCGACTCAGCTTGAGGAGCTCTTTCGAATGAGTTATAATTTGTATATTCGAATTTTTCACCCCAAAAAAGTGCTTGGTCCCCCCTTTGGTTTTTCAATTTTCGGGGGCCTATATCTCAGCGAGTTTTCGTCTCCGGCAGAAAATTCTTGCATATTTGAACTCAGCTCGGCGAGACGAATCGAATGGTATATACTTCGAGTTTCGATCACGGTGGGCATATACTAAAGCGACCCCATCGTAGGAGTCGCGTCGGGGGTCGTTGTTTAAAAAGACTAACAAAAAATGGTTTGCTTACTGTTAACAAAGAATAATCCTTAACCCGGGTAAAGACAGAATTTTTCGTCAATTTCCTCTCATAATCCCTCAAGAGTTACCAGAACTTTTTTTGAAATTTACAGACTTTCCTTAATCCCTTTTTTAAAGTCTGTCTTTACCTTGTGGGCAATAAATTGTCAAAAATATCATTTAAAAAATGAGAAAAAAATCCAAAATGAAAAATGTCAAATACCTAGAAATGGCTTAACCTCAAAACCGAAAAAATTCCAAAAAAAAAAATTGAGCCAAGATTCAAGACCAAGTCTTGAGCAGCTCTACAAAATACCCTCAGGAAACTAGAGTAATGCTTGTAAGTACTGGTTCTAATGTCTATGGACTTTTAGGAGTCAGTAAGAGTCTATAAGAGTGTCCCTTCTCTCTACTACCACATTTCTTCTATAAGAGTCTGTTCTTAAATATCTATAGGCTCTTAATACTTTACAGTATTTGTAAAGTATTTTTGAATATTCTAGTTTCCTGAGGGCATTTGTTCAGTTCCCACTAGGGTTGGACACAAATGTTTGACCAAACCGGAACCGGCAATAACCGAAAATCGGACTGAGGCTTGCGGCTCTAGAATTTTTTTTATTTGCATCCTGCCCTGGTACCGATTAATAGAGGGTTGTGTCCAACATTTCTCCCACCGAAAAAGTAAAAAAAATGAAAAATAGGGGCCTATGTTACGTTAAATTATAATCTTTTGAATTCGGTTCGCTGTTTCTTTCTCCGTTTTTCTCATTCAAAACCTTCGAAAATTCAGTTTCTTCCAAGGCGAATTGTTTTCCCCTTCTCTCCACTGCCACTGCTCTTCCCCCCTTTGATTCTGTTCGCCCATTTCTTTGCGCCTTTTGCAAGTTTAGCTATTGCTCCAAAACTCAAACCTTTTTTCTTTTCATGATATTCAGTCATTGGCATATACTCGCTCGATGTTGCGGCTGTTTCTGCTGCAAAAATTGGGTCTTCATAGTTTACTTCGGAACTTCCTTTTCCTTCATGGCTATTTAAAGCATTAATCATTGCTATAGCTTCCTCCTTGTTATACACATTAGTAACTTGAGGTTTCTATAAATGTAATAAAATAAAATATGCCAGCAACATTTTTCGATAACTTATAGTCCAAAGTAGTGGGGAGTTAATCCCGATTTTCTTTTATTTTTTCGATTACCCTTGCGGGATCTTTCTCTTTGGGGGTGGAAGGATCTTTCCTTCTCAATAAAATATTCAAGCCCCTTTGGGATTGCTCCAACATACTTGGAATTTGCTTCTTAAAGGAATTTTGAACTAGATTAACGGGACTAGGCAAATCCGATTTTTACCTCTCTCTTTACAGCGCCTAGCATGAAAGGAAATTAGATTTAGAACATCCAATTGAGATACCAGGTCGATAATTAGAAAAGTCTTTTTATTCCATTAACCGAGCTTTTTAAACGCTCTCAGTGCCCTTATGATTAGCAAAGCTGGTGGTATTTTACCTTGAATGAATCTTTTAATCTAGTATCTCTGACAAATTTTTCCCAGCTTTCAATAAACTCTTTAGTACAAATTTTTTTCGCATCTTTTCCCTTTTTTTGAAAATAACGTTTTACATCTTTACAAATTTTGTAGACATTATATGAAGCGTTCAAATCATCTCTAACATCACCATAATTTTCTACCCTAACTTTTGCTTCTAAAGTGTTTTTTATGGTACCGAAATATTCAATTTTCTCTTTCATAAGTTTTATCAGTTCCTTCTCTAAGTCACCTTCTGATGGTTGTGTTGTACCTTTGTTGGAAGAACAAAAATTAAAATTTTAAATAATTTTAAGGGAAACCCAAAGCATGTTCCCAAAGTTTGTGCCTTTAGAGTTTGTGTCTATATCTCCTTTATTATTGGATAAAGGATTTAATACCAGCTAGTGTTTGTGTAAAGAGAATTGCCTATGGGCCTGGACAATCCTGAAGCTATTCCTAGGCAGTCTAATAATACTCCCCTGCCAATATTCCTCGTTCTCTTTGGATATGGCTTCAGCACGACTTAGGCATTATGCTTTGGGAGAAACTGGATAATGATTTTCCTAATCTGGCTTTAGACTAGGAAATGCCCTTATAATCTATGCCTTTATAATCCTCATTATAGGCTCAGGCTAAAATTATTCTTTCTGGCCAACCTCCATGTACGTCCTCATAAGGTTCTTCCACAATTTCACTATAACCTCCTGATCCTTTACATTCAATCACCAAAAATAATATAAAAATTGATACAATGACCAATTTTGGTTGAACTTTTAAAAGCATATTTTAGCGCTTTTCTATTCCTTTTAAGCTTCAAAAATTAGCTAAAATAATTTAAGTTATTAAAAAAATTTTTTTTAAATAATTTAATTTATTATTCTTATTCAATTAAAAAATTGAAA